CACCCAATCTCCTGAAAAGGACAAAAAGCTGATCCCACAGATACAAATGCTCAACTATCCCACACAGTACACCAGAACACAGACAGGAGTTATAACTCCTATCCTCTGAAGATGCTGGTCACAGAGATTGGCAAAATGTTAGGAAGAAAAACCTTCAGAAGCCAGCCAAACACCCCAAAAAACCTACAACAACCAACAATATAAAATTTCATTCTGATTTTAAAAAATTGTTTCACAGAAGGCAAGTTAATTCAATTTCAATAATCAAATACAATGGTGCCCTGCTAGATGCTTACCCCGGTAAACGATGAAATCGCTTGACAATGACTTTTTTGGGATTGCTATTGCAATCACAAAACTATGGTTCCTATGGGGGAAATCCGCTTTAAGTTGATTAGGTCCTTGCTTCACAAACCATTTGTTCGCAAAACGATGTTTTTTCCAGCTCCACAAAATGGCTTCCCTCCCTTTGCAAAATGGCTGGTTTCCGGACAGAAGCTTCGGAAGACAGCGATTTTAAACAGCTGATCGGCAGTTCTCTATGGGCATCTTCGCTGGACAAGGAGGTATTTCCCCATTGGAACGCATTAACCAGTTTTCAATGCATTCCAATGGGTTTTTTTTCGCATGGCGATTTCACTGTACAGTGATTTTAACGGAATGGATTATTGTTGTCATGCGGGGAACCACTGGACCCAGATTTAGACTTCTCTGTATGCATGCTTGGGTCTACACTTGATGGTGGTGGAGGTCTAGCAAGACAATTACCTTAAGAAACTCTTCCACTACGAACTGTAGAGGCATGTTTCTTTACCTCCATAACTGCATTATGACAGAGGAACTCTGATAGCGCTAAGAATGTGTGTGTGTGTGTGTGTGTGTGTAAGTCATCATTTAAATCATGTCTGCAGACCAACAAAAGATCCATTGCTATTTTTACATTTTCAATGCAAATCTGTCCTTGACCTACACCAGCTCCACCTTCCCTGCCACAATGGAACTTAAAAATTCCACTAATTCTGCAGCCAATCAGCGTACCCAAACTATGCTATAGAAAACCATTCAGGAATCTAGTTATCATAAATCAGAGCACATGACATGGGTCCCACAATATTGTTCATATGTCTGGTGCACCATATCCTTTCAAATACTATATACTTGGTGATGAGAATGAAAAGAAAGAACAGCAATGTGTTTATGGCAGCAACTTTTGGAATGTCTTAGCTGGTTGGATAGCTCAGTGATGGAAGTTCAATTCCCCACTGTGTATCCCAGAAGAGACAGCCTGTCTGGCCTTGGGCAGTTGCACAGTCCCAGGGCATCCTCAGAAGAAGGAAATGGTAAACCACTTCTTAGTACTCTCTACCTAGAATACCCTGAAAAGAGTTGCCTTAAGTCTGAATTCAGTGCATACAAATTACTAAACTTCTGTTTTCTAGAGACTTTCTAAACTTTGGCTAATACACCAGATGCATTCCTTTCTGTAATTAAAAGGACCTGACCACACTAATGTGTTTTGGTCATCTATTACAATAATGTGCTAAAAGGGTCATTCCTTGAAAAGTGGCCATAAACTGCAGCTAGAGCAAAATGTGTCAACCAGCTTGCTCTCTAATAGATACCCTTCAACTACATTACATGAATCGGATGTCAATTGTGCTAAGTGTAGATTTCTTTCTGGCCTCAATTCAAGATGTCAGCATGTACTCACAAGGCCCTAAATGGCACAGATAAGTAAGGATTATCTGAAAGACTAGCTCATCCCGCATGAACCTGCCCACAGGTTGAGACTGTAGGTCTGAACTAGGCCCTAATATGAAACTGTATTTGGTTTACGGGAACACATAAAGGAGCCTTTACTTTGGTAGCACTCTGGATATGGAATTATCTGTCAAAGAAGGCTAGAGGTAAAATATTTTTGGTCAGTTAAACCTTTACTGGTGTTTAATTGTGTGTTTTAACCTGACATCTTTCTAATATTAAGGCTCTACTTTTAATTTTGATAAATTGTTGCTGTGTTTAAAAAAAAAACAGATGTAGACAGAATAGCATGATAAAAACATTAAACATATAAATAAATGGTTGCCTCCAGAGAACTGCAGTCACAAATGCTCACAAAATTTCTCAATTCTACTTCTTCAGCTGGAGATGAGAGAACAAGGCATTTCAAGGGAACAATCTTCACTTCAATGGCTATTATACATGTTCCCAGGGTCTGCTTTTACCCTTTGTAACAAGGTGCAGTGGTTTAACAATCTCCTCTCCCAAAAGCAGCAAAACATCTTCCATATAAAATAAGTGTGCTGCGCAGATACAGGTGGTATTGCTGGTCATGAGCCCTATGAGTAATTGAGCTCCCACTGTATAAAAAAAACAGGCGATAATGGAAAGTAGACATGGGAGCTTTGTATTTGTCTCCTGGGAGAGACAAATACGAAGCCCACCAGGACAAATGTCCCAGCAGTCGTTCCCCGTGCTCCCAAAACCAGCCCAGTCCATTTACTGGGTTCCTCGGCACACGTGGCTGACGTCAGCAATATCACACTAATCACAGACATAATCCTGCTGGTGCTGCCCTGCCTCTCCCTACAGCCAACCACTCCAGCAAGGAGGGAAGACGACTCTTCCCACTCAGCTGCCGAGCAGTCAGCTCCCATGTTTAGTGAAAAGCACAGCCACAGGCACTGCACTCCAGCCACTGCACTCCCCTTTATGACCCCCATGGACGAAAGCACGCCAGGCCCTCCTGTCTTCCACTGCTTCCTGGAGTTGTGTCAAATTCATGTTGGTCGCTTCAATGACACTGTCCAACCATCTCATCCTCTGTCGTCCCCTTCTCCTCCTGCCTTCACACTTTCCCAACATCAGGGGCTTTTCCAGGGAGTCCTCTCTTCTCGTGTGATGGCCAAAGCATTGGAGCCTCAGTGTGATCAGGTTCATCTTTAGCCATGGGCGGGCCCGAGGTTTGCGCGGGAATAAGAGTCGGAGGTGAGTTTAAAACTTTAACAGTGTCTCTTTTATTCTTCACCACATCTAATTCCTTAGTTTTGAACGGGTCTAACAAACTTAACTCCGGCAGTAACTTATAACTACAGAACTTCACATCCGGGGCGATCCAAAGTGCTCCCGATCTGTCATGGGTCTCATAGGGGTACTTCGCACCGCACAAATTGTCCCACAGCAGGGGTATCTCGCCCAGTCCCCTTCTCGGGTTTGTTGGATCAAAGAGGGACTGGGACGGATCACCTTCCTCCCCCCACGCTGGTCCATTCTAAGGGTTTGTAACACTCACTCGCAGCCTTGTTGCCCAGTGGATCAGGAAGCAAGCCATCTCCCGTTCGCAGATTTGGAAAGTCTTTAAGCAATCCTATCACATCCTCCTGCTCCAAGCCTTGTTCGTTCTGAACCGCCTGATCCCTTTTTCTCCCTCTCGGTTCATCTGTTATTCTGAAAACGCCCACACTTTCCCCCTCTTTTAACACCTCCTCCCAGGCAATCAAATCTCACTCCTCCCCCTTATCTTCAGCCAAGCAGACTTTTAACATCTCCTTCCGCACTTCATCCTCCTGTTCTATCTCTACCAACACCCCCTCTATGCAGCTGCTGTCCTCCTGGAGGACGGCACACTGGTGACTCCTCGGTCACACTCAGCTTCAGGATCTGTCCTTCCAGTGAGCACTCAGGGTTGATTTCATTTAAAATGGATAGGTTTTTTCTCTTTGCAGTCCAGGGGACTCAGACACACTTCCTAGTGTACTGCAAATGACTATGGTCCTCTGAAGAGGAAACAGAGGGACCTCAGAGCACAGGTCATCCTGCTTTCCTGTCATTGAGGCCCGGGGAAATAGTCAACTATAATGGAAGCCAGCAGCTAGTTGTACAGATGTTGACATCATGAACCACCTGGCATCTTGGGTTTGCATTTTCATGAAGAACTCATTGCACGTGATGAGTTATATCTTGGGGAGAAAATGTTTGGCAGAAATCTTGCAAACCTAGTTTAGAGAGCTTTGAACAGAAACCCACCAGAAAGAGTAATTGCAATATTTCAGGCACCATGGAAACAGGTACCGGGGATAACAATGCCAGTTATGTGTCTGAAACAGAGACCTGCAAATCAAGGGGAAAGGGCAGCAATGAAGCATCTAGAGGGACAGATTCATGGCTTCATATATTTCTGCCCCAATGCACAGAGAATAAGAAACCAACAAGATAAGCTTGAACTCTTAGCACAGGGAGGCAAATATCATATACTGAAACCTGGTGGAGTGATACCCAACTGGAATATAGTAATGGAAGGGTATAACTTATTTAAAAGGAACAAATGAAACAGGAAGAGAGGAGGAGCAGCACTTTATATAAAAGATGCATACATCAGTGAGGAGATTTATGTGTTGGAGCATGGACACTGCTGGAAGGCATTTAAATAAAAATCAAAAAATATCCCTCAGAAGAGAATGGCAAATCACATCTGTGTATTCTATATCTAGAAAACCTTGAAAGGTCACAAAAAATGACCCTTTCAGTCTTAGACCATCTTTCAAAACATTGGTCTCCAATTGTCAGAGATCCAAAGTTTACTCGTACTGAAAAAAAGACAAATATCAAAATTAAAACCAGAAATTACAGAGGCAAACCAATTTCTACTGTTCTACAAGGGTGAGCCATTCCACAGTGGTGCAGAATTCTGGTGCAGCCTTTAGATCAATCTCATGTGTTAAATTTAAATAAAAACACAAGAAGCATAAATATTATCTTCTAACACAACTGTTCCTCACATAAAACAGTAGATGTTGTCAAGGATTCTAGGACTTCAATAATCTCAAATACAACACATGGGAGTGAGTGGCTAGCAGTCCATACTATTTACTGAAAACTTGTAAGATTAACATATACAAACAAGAAGAGAAGCATATGAGCATTTAAAATAAAACTACCAGAAAGAGGAACAGACATATAAAAACAGTCTCCTAAAGATTAAAAAAAAGTATCATTAATACCTGTGAGTTTGATTTTGGACAAACGAGCCAAAATGCCTGGTAAGCTATCCAGCTCAATCTTCATCTCTTTCCACTGCTTCTCTTCCTTGGATGCAGGTCTCACTACAATGTCTGTGCTGTCAGTGATTGCTGTGGACCTCCATACTTTACTTTCATTAACCGTTGGTTTGTCAGACAAAGGTGGAAGAAGAGGTGAAACTGACGGCACAACATGGCCTACTATTTCTTCCTGAACTGAATGCTGTCTTTCACAGCAAGGTGGTGCAGCTGATTCTGGCTGTCCTTCAAAGCAAGGTGGTGTCACTGATTCTGGTTTCAGCTTTGCTTGCTGGAAGAGTCCTTTACTATGATCTGTTACATACTAGAAAACCAAAAGAAAGAGAAAAAGAGAACCAGTAAGTCATTTAATGCCATTTAAGCTACTTCAAATCATAGGTTCTACACTCGGGATATGAATATATTCTTCTATGAAAATACTACAGAACTCAGTGAATGAGTGCAAGATAACTTCCCAGTTTTGCCCAATGCATTTCACTTCAGATACTTCCAGCTAATGGCACTCCTTTATCTTACACAAACGTCCCCAACACAATGCTGCACCCTCCCCCCAATGTTTTGGAATGCATCTGTGTTTCAACTATGATGAATACAACAGGTGAGATCTGTAGTCCAAAACATTCCTAAAGCACCATGTTAGGAACATGAGCTGTTAAGGGTGAATGAAACTTTAAACTACCTACCTCTAATAACAGTTTATTCTTCAAAATGAAACTAAAACTTTCACTCAGTTAATCCACAAACCAGTAATTCATTTATTTTTGAAAATATGTGAATCTACATTTAAATTCAATCTCCCTTATTCATGCTAAAATTTACTATTTTGCAACATAATAAAAAAAGCAAAATAAGGGACGTGGTGGCGCTGTGGGCTAAACCACAGAAGCCTGTGCTGGACCAAGCAGTCATAAGATCGAATCCACACAACGGAGTGAGCGACCGTTGCTTGTCCCAGCTTCCGCCAACCTAGCTGTTCGAAAGCATGCAAATGCAAGTAGATAAATAGGGACCACCTCGGTGGGAAGGTAACAGCGTTCCGTATCTAAGTCACACTGGCCATGTGACCATGGAAGATTGTCTTCGGACAAAAAACACTGGCTTTATGGCTTGGAAACGGGGATGAGCACCACCCCCCAGAGTCGAACACAACTGGACAAAAATTGTCAAGGGGAACCTTTACCTTTTTGAAAAAGCAAAATAGAGGTTTATACACACTACATCTACATCAGCTGAGAAAAAGCCAACAAGTCTAACTAAAAAGAAGAAGAACATTTGGAAACATGAGATGATAAGGACATCTTTTTTACGTGTTCCTTCCGCATATGATTAACTAGAACTAACTGTACAACTACAACTTCTGTAATCCACACAAACTCTACCTCCTTTCAAGATGGTTTGTCAAATATTTTTTATAGTGCATTTGCAAATACAAAGTACCTGGCAATGTTGGGCACTAAAATATGGATTAGAAGTATGCACAGCAAAGTCATCATATTTATCTATACTTCTGATGTGTCACATATTTCTATACTGGCTTACCCTTTGCTTCAGGAAGTTTAACTTTTGAAATGTAATCCTTTTTTCTTTGGTGACTCTGAGAAATAATATAAACTTGCAAGGCACTTGCTGCATGGCTTTCTTCTTGAAAATGCTGGAAAAATATTCCTACAAGTAAGAAAAAATTGTTTATTTACAGAAAGGTTAGAAGCAGATCTAATACAGAGACTCAGTATCAACAAAATAAGAAATATACACAGGAGAACAAGTATAAATGAGAAAAAAGGAGACGCATACAAGCTTGCAAAATTCAAAGAGAATCATGTTTGTGTTTCATTTCAAACTATACACCAGCTAATCTTTTACATTCCTGATACTGTCATTGGCTAGAAAACTGATCATAATGAGAAAAGCATCAGCAGGATGGAATATTTACATAAAAGCAGGCACTGCCATAAAAGAAGCACCAAAGCTGAGCATTCATGTCAGGAGGATTGTTGGGGAACTCTACACCAGCCGCAATGTGTACATTTATTGCTGATCTTAAAAACTATGACATAAGACAGCTATAGAACTTCATTTTTAATTGTCACTGTAAAAAGTCCCATGATAATAAAGGAATAAAACCAAGGCAATATTTTAACTCTAGTGCTTCAGTTGCTCAAGTTGTTACATGAAACTTGTATTGAATCACTACAGAAAAAAAGTTTTTCCACATCAAAAAGCATTCCTTTATGTAAGATGATTTTTAATGTCTATATACATTTTATTCAAAGCACACAATAATACTTTTTAAATGTAAGAGACTCATATTATCTTTTTTTAAAAAAGGTAATTAGGTAAAAAGTTGGTGAAAACCTATTTGTGGTAGCAACACTTCTATGGAGATTTGTATTTACTGTATTTTTCTATGTATAAGATGACATAATGTATAAGACGACCCCCACTTTTCCAACCCCAAATAAGAAAATTTGATCACTGCTTTCCCCTTCCCCTTCCCAAGCCGCACAAAAGCAAGATCAAAGGGCTGAGGAAGTGGAGGGAGAAAGCAGCCATGAAAGGGCTGCAGGATCGCAGCCTTTGATCTTCCAGCAGGGGTAAAGCAGTGATGAAAGGGCTGGAGGATCAAAGGGCTGAGATCCTAGAGCCCGCAGGGCTTAGGAAGTGGTGGGGAAAGCAGCCATGAAAAGGCTGCAAGATCAAAGGGCTGTGATCCTGGAGCACTTTGATCCCTTCCCCCTTACTTCCGTGTATAAGACCACCCTCGATTTTTAGTCTAAATATTTTAGATATAAGTATCATCTTATATACAGAAAAATACGGTATACATACAAGAAAGGAGTACTGGTGAGAAAATTAAATACTTGTGTATAATTAAAATATATTTTTGGTTGCTGTAGGTTTTCGGGCTGTTTGGTCATGTTCTGGAGGTTTTTCTTCCTAACGTTTCACCAGCTCTGTGGCCAGCATCTTCAGAGGACAGGAGTCAGAATTTTTGTCTGTGTTCTGGTGTAGTGTGTGGGATAGGTTTGTTAGCTGTGGGGTCAGCTTTTTGTCCTTTTCCTGACCCCACAGCTACAAATACTCAACTATTTCACATACTACACCAGAACCAACAGAGTTCTAACTCTTGTTCTCTGAAGATGCCGGCCACAGAGACTGGAGAAAGGTTAGGAAGAAAAACTTCCAGAACACAGCCAAACAGTCTGAAAAACCTACAACAACCATCGGATCCTGGCTGTCAAAGCCTTTGAGAATACAAAATATATTTTTCTTTGTTAAGAATCAATCATTTTAGTTATGGAAGGTTAGGTTAGAGATCCTCCAGCCTTTTCAATCATTTTAGTTATGGAAGGTTAGGTTAAGCTGCAAAGCAAATACTGTAGGACTAATGACATCATGTAAGAATGCTTTTTTCTACACTAACAGAAGCAACCTGCTTTCCATGGAATGGAGAATGCTTCCTTTAATGTGTTCATCTGTTTAAAGCAAAGTTGGCTTGGACTCACTGTGTATGCCCCTTCTGAGGGAAGACATACGCAGTGGCAATGCTCCTTCCCACCAGACTCTAAAGTTCCCTTTGTGCAGTGGTTCTCCAACTTGGGTCCCCAGATGTTCTTGGATTATAACTCCCAGAAACCCTGTCCAGCACCACTATGAAGCTTGCGGGAGTTTGAGTCCAAGAACTATCTGGGGACCTAAGGTTGGGAATTTCTGCCTTAGTATCAATGGAAAATTTTAGGCTTAGATCTTGGAACTATGAATCTGTGACAGAGGCACTTTTTTAAAAAATCAGAGTCTGGCCAGCTCAACTGTCCTTTCCCTATCATTTTTAACCAGCCTAAGTATGAATTCAGCTGTAGATCTGAAGTCATATCTTTCTCACCTCAGCATTCATCATGGTACTTCAAGAAACACCAAATTCTAACATAAACTATCTTATGCTTTGTGATGAAGAAAACAAAAAGAATAATATCTGTTACAAAGGCCTAAAAATTTACTATGTGCTTAATGCAATTTTTAATAAATATTCTTTACACAAGGAAACACCTGTGTTTGCAGACCAAGCCAATGCTAGGCCGCTCCTATTGATTTCAACAGGAGAGAACTCCACTTAAGGTTCAAGCTATAAATATGGTCTGTTATCAAACATGCTTTTGGTAGATCATATCAAAATATAAACTGCAAAAGAAATAGTACACTGAAATGGGAGTTCATAAGTCCCCTGCCCCAAACTTCTTATCTCATGAACCAACTGTTCATACTCTATTAAGAAATTCTTAGGTGATCTTTTTCTTGAAATTAGAGCAATAAAACAATACATATGAAAAAATCTAGAGAAAACAACACCTACTAATTAGCATCAAAATTTTTGGGTTTTCACAACTTCAGTGGATCTAAACATCTGTAGTGTTGAACTACAATTATATCAATGGTTACTGTCCTTCCTGACAGGGTCTGGCCTTACGATTAACAGTCCTGTTCAGGTTTTCTAAACTAAAGGCCTTATTGAGTCAATGCATAAAATGTCAGATCTTCCTCTTTTCCTATTGCTTTCCAATTTTCTTACCACAACTGCTTTTTCTAGCATGTCTTTTCAGTAGTATGATAGTCTCATTTTAGTCATACTTGGTTCTAATGAAAGTTCAGACTTGACTTTACCTAGTACTCATTTTTTTGTCTTTCTGGTGGTCCACTATATCCCCAAAACACTATATTTCAAATTATTGTTTTCCCATTTCAGCTTTCACATCTGTACCAAGTAATCTGGATTACTACTACATAAATGATTTTTAGCCTTAGATTTTCTGTTCTCTCAGAAAGACAGTTATTGTCTCTTACTGCTCCTTCCATCTGGTACTAATCAGGTCCTGATTTTAGGGTACACAAGAGGCTTGGCCTACAAATATGTGATCTTCTGGCAGGCATTTTGGAAACATCAAGAGAGTGACAACATAGAAAAGGAAATAATAATAAATGAATAGTTTCATTTACAGCACATCTTTATTTTTTCTGCTGGCAAAAAGGGCAGAGACTTTCTCTTGGCCTAGTCTTCCTTGAAACTTCTGACCACCACCATACAATCTTCCCTTTTCTGTCCCCATACTAAAGCTAATGAAAAAGACACTTAAATGACATAAAAATAAACTTCTGGTATTTCCAACATGAATTTGGCACAACTCCGGGAGGCAGTGGAAGGAGGGCCTGGCATGCTCTGGTCCATGGGGTCACGAAGAGTCGGACACGACTAAACAATGACGAAACAAAATTTATCTTTGTACGACATTATTTTTCTCCAATGCCACCCCCATGAATATTTTCTATCATAAGCTCCTTGAGCCAAACACTCAAAGTCTATTGGAACAGAACTCTCTCTCTATGCATATATTAGCGAAAAATGCTGCCAATCACACCTTTCCGTTTACAAAAATCAGGGAACAAAATGTTGCAGGGATGAGAGGGACGAATAACTACTCTGTCGTTCTATAATTCCTGAGCCCGTTATCCATAATTCAAGAGCCAGCACATACTCTGCGTGCGGAAGGGCTCCAGTTAAAGCACCGACCTCGTCAGGAAAGGCTGGAGACGTCAATATGAAAAACACCGAACAAGGGAAGCCAGTGCCCGGATTCGGCCTGAGGCAGCGCCACCTGACCTCGAGTGACCCTCCGGAAGACAGAAACCGCGATAAATGCGGAAGAAGCCGACAGGCACAGACGGAGAAAACCAGTCGCTTCCCCAAAATTACGGAAGCCAAACAATCCTCCCTTGGCCGCGAACCCCAAAACACTTCAGAAAGAAATCAACGGAGGCTCTGGGCACTGACCTTCCACGTTGTCGCCCGGCCACGCCTCACAGCCCCAGAACAGGGACTCTCTTGAGTTCCTTTATTGCCTCTCTGGGCCGGCGAGAGTGCAAAGCAAGACGCGGCATGGATGGGGCAGAGAAGGAAGCCCGAAGATCACCCTGCCCTTCATTCCCCTCAGCACGACTTCCTAGGCGCCGCCATCTTGACCGGCCTGTAATCACCCCCCACCCCGACCCTGTTTTGTTTCACTTCCGCGGGGTGAGGGCGGTACTTCCGGTGAACGAGGGCAAAGCCGTTTGACCGCTTTCGAGGAGAGCGCGCGGCGGTGCCTTCGCTTCCAGTCGCCCCACGAAGGGCGGTTCTGGTGCTGGCTGGCGGCGGGGGTGGTGCCGTTGAGCGCCTTCCTTTTCCATAAGGCCTTAGGAGCTCTGGTGTTA